CCCGAAACAATGTGGTGGGGCCAGGAGGGTGGGACTGTGGCAGATATACATTGGCTCAAATCGCCATGAGACTCAACGTGCAGCGACGAACCCCAAATCGGGCTGTGCCTACACCCATATTGGTCACCCAGACCATTACCCACAAACGTCCATAAGCCAGCACTGCCATCGGGGTAGGAACCTCTTGCCTGTTAGTTTCTCCCCAACGCTGACCCCATCTTTGTGCTGCCACAAACATCAGAGATATGACCCTCACAGAAATAAAAGACAGGTACTGCTAATGTAGGAAAGCTCCCTATCCCGTTTCACTGAGCAATTGCACAAAAGCACGAAGCAGCAGGCTCTGAAGGCTGGGCAAACCTCCTCCTTTTGACGGCAATGCTGATTGAAGCCACTTAAAAATTTATGTTAAGCTACGTCCTATCTCTGATATACACTTACAAATCCAGAAGGAATTATCATAATAACCTACCTAGATAGAAGACGGAGGATTACTCTGTAGTGAGACTAGAACATATGCCCAAAAAGAAAAATTCACATGTCCTGATGAAGCCGCATCCTGTAACAACTTGTTCCACTGATCGTCTAGCCTTTCAGTTAAAATAAAAAAAACCTGCTGGCTATTTGCCACTTCCAAGCACTGGACCTTGCAATACATTTGCTGGGCTGAAGGTTCTGTCCTTCAAGTCAAATTTGAGCAAGTCACCCTCCAATCTTCCCTTTATCCCTCTCAATCCTCTCACTATAAGGATTATTTTCCAATTTTATCATCAGTTTCAATACCTATCCCTAATCTTCTCCAATTTAACAAAATCATTCCTCAACTGTGGAAGCCAGAATTGAAAAAACTATTGTTTCAGTGCTTGTTCCAGAACCCAGGAATTAAGGTAGAAGGTCCTCTTTATGGGGACATTTTACACTTACCATTACACCGAACAGCCATCGAGATGCTCAACTATTTATCAGAATGAGTGCCTCAAGACAAGTCCATATTAACAGAAGTCTCTTAATGTGGCTTTGCTTGCTTGTTCCTTGACATAGCAGCTTTACATGTGATTTATTGAAACAATAGCGGGGCGCTCTCTGTCTTAATGGAACAAGACAGAGTAAGGAAATGGCCTATCACTCATGTGCTTCCAGGTGCTCCGGTAACCATTCATCCTGCAGTCCTACCAGTATAAGGACACAGGACTAGTCCATCTAGACCAGCAATGACTCACCTAGAATCAGATGTTTCAAAGAACGGTGCGGCTGGCAGGACTGAAGTGATCTTTTCCACGATTTCTACTTATCACTAAAACTTAGAGACAGCCTTGAGCCCTTAGATGCAGCATTTTGTACATTTACTACATGACTCAGTTAAGACAATGGTAGATATTTTTGTACCTCTATATGTTTACATCTAGGTTCTCAGTCTCAGAATTTAATGCAGGGTCATTCCATTCCTTCCAGTCGGTCCCTGTGCAGTAAGTTCCCCACTTTAGTCACATCTTGCGTACAAAAGCATTTACTGTCATGTTTTTTTCCATTTCCTATCCTCCCGTTTTACTGACTCAGCTCTTGTACTAAGAGACAAACAAGTCCTGCTTCTCTAGAATCCCTGTTTTCACGTGGGAGTTCCTCAGCACAGCTCTGCTAATACTAACAACAGCCTCTGCTTCCACTTACGCGACTTTTGACAAGGCATGTCGCTGCCCAAGGAACAACGCCTTTTCTGCAGATTGCCCAGAAGATTATATAACAAGATTAAAAAATTCGTCTGAAGATGCAAAGGAGTATTTTGATACCACTGAAAATCAATGACCTCTCAAGCATTTCACACATGTCAGCTTTCACCATTTTTATCCTTTTTTGAGTGAAATCATTGTGAATTATGCTCACATAAGTAGACACAGCATTAATTCCCACGATGATGTAAGCTTTGATGTACGGAGCTCTATCCAGCTCTAAACAGTTAAAGCGATTAACAGCAAAGCTAACAAAATTGCCAGGAGCAGAAAGCTAAAAGGAGAAGTCGGAAAGCCATCACCAGGAAGTCCGTAGGTACAGCACATCACTTACCAAACAGGCGCTGATGGAAGAGAAATTTCCCGGCTATCAGTCCTGTCAGAATGGCAAGCAGCCACAGAAACACCTTCAAAAATCTCCAGGCTCCTCCTTCAGGGTATTTATTTGTTACAAAGGAGAAACAATTACCAACAACAATAACATTGGCTTCTGTCTGACTGTGAGATACTGGGTCCTCCGCAAATATTAAGAAGTTAAAGAAGATCACTAAGTACGCCACGACTAAGCGAGACCACGGGTGCTGGAAGTAGTAGCGGAAGTCTTTATCCATCCTCAGACAGTGCAGAACGGTTCTTGGCCTGTATGTAAAGACAGAAATGCACCATGTTATACACACCCAGAATCCTCCGAGCTCAGGAGATACCTGCACATTACAAAAATCGAACCACCGTAACCTTGTCATCAGTGGTTTTTAACACTTCAGACTTGACTAGCAATGAAAGTTTCGATCCAAAGATACTGTTAGATCCAAGTAGGGACAAACTGACATTTCTGCCCATTCCAATGTAAAACAAACAAACAAACAAGCAAGTATACGTTATAGCACAGGATTTTTAGTCTCAAACATTTCTATACTCTCTCTTTAGAATTACAGCTCCATAGTGGGGCATGAAAATACAGCATGTAAGAACATGACAGGCTACATGAAACTCAGAGTGCCTTTCCAGCCACATTCCAAAAAATACGACACGGTTTCACAGATGTTCATGCTAAGTCTAAATTGATTCTTTCTCCTTACAGGAGAGGGATGGAACAAGCCCATAAGTCCAGTGAGGTCTTCTACGGCCTCATCCCCTGGAAGCTTACAAGCATTCACCCCTGCAACATCAGAAACTTGTGTTTTCATGAAGGAGCAGCATGATGGAAGAGTTGCTAGAACTAATCCTTGCAGGTCAAGCAAGTCTTTTCGTTGACTTCAGGGAGTACAACTATAATTAAACATATTTTCAAAACCAGAAAATAAGAGTGCCCTAGCACAGCCTGTTTTGTACGAATACAAAAATTGGATTTTGAAACTTGCCTACTTACAAAGTACTGCTTTGGGAAAATGCAACTGAGCATGGTTAATGTTTCAGTTGTTTCCCATTTGATTTCTTTTATTCACAATAAATTAGTTGTTTCATCCTATTGAACCACTTTGTATGTACAAAGATACAGAGCCTTTGTGTTGTGGAACACCGCAATTATTCAAGGGACATAGAGTGTAGGAAGAAAAGAAAAAAAAAAAGAAGAGTATCTAATAATATTGTTTGTTTATTACACCATGATCCTTGAAGGATACAGTGTACTTAACTGTACAGTACAGATTTTTGCAAATGTCATATGCCTTGCAAAAAAACCCAACAAACCAACAAACACCAATCGCAGCCAAAGACCTAAAAAACTGCAATCAATTACTCATCTCTTCTTGGACTTCCAACTAAGTATCGCTGTGCAAACTTACAAACGGCTTGAATTACAATGTCTCCCTTTAGGTTGTCCCCTCAAAATTATTTAACTCTATAATCCAATTTATATTTGTAAAATTACAAGGAATCCTGTATCCATTCAACCAAAAGGACAGAAGAACCTCTGGCCAGATTCAGACAACGCATTCAGTAAATAATGAAAATTAATAATGTGCCATTATGCATAAATTACATATGTAAAAGAAAAAAACCCAAACACATCAGAGAGTTAAAAAGCTGGCACATGGAAGCATCAGCCCTTCGAAAACTTTATGAATAAAGTGATTTGAAGCAAGGCTCACTGGCCCAGCAGCCCAAGCAAAGGCCACTCTGGGGAAACTAAGCTGCCTTCAGAGCCATAAGGATGCCCAAAGCGATTTCACGTTCTCCTTTCTTCCTGCTAAGGGGAAGAAAAGTTTCGGTGTTTCCTTACGTGTATGAAACACCTCAAAGCCCGAACGGGGCTGGAGATAAACAACTCT